AGAATTTTTTTTCCAACCTTCGAAATTTTAAAAGTCGCTGCACCACCACAAACATAACTCCCAAAGCCGTTTTGCTGGGGGGAAAAATTGTGGGAGTTGAAGTCCAGACATCTTAAAGTTGCCAAGGTTGAGAAACACTGCTTTATAGGCTTTAACCAATAAACGGTTCAATAAATCTTGGTCTCAACTTCCCTGGAAGAAATGCTGAGAGCCATAGAATGGATGAGCATGGCCATACATAATACTACTTTGGCTTAATGTGATGTGGGAAAAAGGCAGCGCAGCCTGATGACTATTAGGAAAGACCTTTTCTAATGGTCTTGTTTGTTACACAGTCAGTTATGACTGTTAGTTCACGTGAAAGAGTAAGAAAGGCAACTAGTAAAAAAGCCATCTAAGTGAATAACAATAGCTTCCCCCCCCCCCGATAGCATAGCTTAAATTAACATTGTTGTGTTTCTTTCTTCTTATATAGTGAAGATTGATAAAGAGAAACAGCTGGTGGTTCTGGATGAAGAACATGAGGTTTGTGGCTTGATATGTCTGAGTAGGAGGCAGAAGTAGCTTTTTGCTTTGCAAAGCTTAAATATATAAACATTATGTTCTTGCTGAATGTGGGGTTAATAGATACAATATTTTATATGTATTCATCCATCCATCCAAAGAAAAACAGGATAGCCTTGTTCTAAATTAACTAATAGGTCATAATAATCTGTTTTTAAGGACTGGTATTGGCTTTAAATACTGCCTTAAAAATGAGTCAAGGCTGTAATGGTGTATTGCATCCTGGCTATAAGGTACATTGCTAAAATACTAGTTGTTCTTGTTATTCTTACAGGGCATTTCTCCAGATGAACTAAAAGATGAACTTCCAGAAAGACAACCTCGATATCCTTTATTGATCAAAGTAATATTTGGATACATAGAAATCAATTTCTGCTGTTATTGTTGGTGCCTGACCAAGTAAGCTATGCTGTGCTTCTTGGCATAGAGTCTAGAGGTTAAAGAAGGTGTGCAGATCTTTCTTAGAAACTTACTTTTGCTGTAAGTGTCCAGGAAGGGAAGGGATTTATAATAGAGGAAAGAGCTTTATTTCTGTACTGGGGTCATACATTGCTCAAACCCATACTATAGTTTATTTGGCTTTAGCTTAGGGAGTATGTGAACCAAGCCAACTGTGGAATATTCCACAAACCACACTTCAGTTGCTTGATTTCCTTACCTTAAGAAAACATTCATTGTCTATAGCTACAAGTACCAACATGATGATGGGCGAGTCTCTTACCCACTCTGCTTTATCTTCTCTAGTCCAGTTGGTAAGTTTAACTCTAGTGAACTGATGTGCAAACTGTCTTCAGTAGAAATAAAAAATTGCTGGCTGTTGTCCAAAATGAAAAGTGCTTAAGGATATGTTAAAGTTTGTGTTTTGATTAGCTGTGGGAAGTTCATGTTGTTTGGCTTCTGAGTGCCATTGTGTTGGCTCTACAAATGCAGAAGAAAAACAGTGTTGAAGCCCAGCTCAATAACAGTTGTTGGAAGAACAGGACAAGGAGTTTTGTAAAAACTTCAGCAATTATGCACATTATTCTACAGTGATTGGATGAATAACTTTTGACAGCCATTGGATTTGAAATGTAAGGGAATTCCTCATTCCTTACATATGGCCTGGATTTGGGACTGAAACAGCATTGGTCACAGTTTTGGATGATCTCTGGCGGGAGAGGGATGGGGGTAGTGCATCCATCCTTGTTGTTCTTGACCTCTCAGCGGCTTTCAGTACCATCAACCATGGTATCCTTTTGGGTCAGCTTGGGGAGTTGGGGGTGGGTGGCACAGTCTTGTGCTGGTTCACTTCCTTCCTCCAAGGCCAGTCCCAGTCGGTGTTGATAGGGAGTGAGAGCTCCAGCCCGCGGCCTCTCCTTTGTGGGGTGCTGCAGAGTTCAGTACTTTCCCCGCTCCTTTTTAACATCTACATGAAACCACTGGGTGAGATAATCCACCACCATGGGATGAGGTATCATCAATATGCAGATGATACCCAGTTATACATCTCCATCCCAAGTGATCTGAGTGATGCTGTGACTACCCTTTCGTGGTGCCTGGAGTCTGTGGGAGTCTGGATGGGGAACAACAGGCTTCAGCTGAACCCTGGTAAGACAGAGTGGCTGTGGATTGGAGGCCCCTCTGTATCCAAGAACT